CAAGAACAGACCAGGCCGAGGTGTCTACAGTTAACCTTGCTGAGAATACTTCTGCCGCGTACACGCCTGGGGCACCGGTGCATACTGCCCTAGATATAGACTCCAGTGAATGTCAAGGCTGCTACGCTACCTACGTACCCTCTCTGCTGTCAAGCCCCCTGTGGCGTCGAGGAAATGCCACGCCTGCCACGCCCTGGGAGCCTGCAGCGCACAGGGCCCCCACCCCCAGCGCACCCCCTGTGGCGTCGAGGAAATGCCACGCCTGCCACGCCCTGGGAGCTTGCAGCGCACCCCTCCGGTGTCGAGAATGTGCCACGCCTGCTGGGCCCCGTGACATTGGCGCGTATAGCGACCGCGGTGGGCCCCCACCCCCGGCGCACTCCCTGTGGCGTCGAGAAAATGCCACTCCTGCTAGGCCCTGCGACATTGGCGCGTGCAGAGACCGCGGTGGGCCCCCACCCCCAGCGCACCCCCTTGTGGCGTCGAGAAAGTGCCACGCCTGCTAGGCCCTGCGAAATTGGCGCGAAAGAGACCGCGGTGGGCCCCCACCCCCAGCGCAGCCCCTTTGGCGTCGAGGGAATGACACTCCTGCTAGGCCCTGCGACATTGGCGCGTGCAGAGACCGCGGTGACCCCCCCACCCCCAGCGCACCTCCTGCGGCGTCGAGGAAGTGCCACGCCTGCTAGGCCCTGCGACATTGGCGCGTATAGAGACCGCGGTGGGCCCCCACCCCCAGCGCACCCCCTGTGGCGTCGAGAAAGTGCCACGCCTGGTGTCGAGAAAGTGCCACCCCTGCCACGCTCTCCGACCCTGGCACGCATAGAGACCGTGCTGAGGGAACACCCCCTGCGCACCCTCTCTGGTGTCGAGAAAGTGCCACCCCTGCCACGCTCTCCGACCCTGGCACGCATAGAGACCGCGCTGAGGGACCACCCCCTGCGCACCCTTTCTGGTGTCGAGGAAGTGCCACCCCTGCTACACTCTGCCGTGCCGTGCCCTGCGCGCCAGCCCTGTGTGCTATGCTATGCTGTGCTGTGCTGTGCTGTGCTGCTGTGCGGTGAGCTGTGCTGTGCTGTGCCGTGCTGCGGTGAGCTGTGCTGTTCTGTGCTGTGCTGAGTTGAGCTGAGGTGAGCTGTGTTCAGCTGTGCCGTGCTGAGCTGAGCTGAGCTGTGCTGAGCAGTGCTGTGAGGAGGAGGAGGGGGAAGAGTGAGGTGAGTGTCGCGGGTGCGTCGCGGGTGCGGCGCGGCAGGGAAGAAAACAATAACCCCACGAAGCATGTGGGGAATTAGGTATCTCACACCTGCAGCAATAGCACATTACTTAGTTTTTAACTCTCAAAAATACAAATTGAGGCCGCTGCCTAAATCATGCAGGCTCGAGTCCGATGCTAAACAACAACGAGAACTCATACCTTTAGAAACCACAGCTCCTCCATGAGTGCCCCCTCCAGGGGGAGGGGAGGGCTGGTTTCAGATGCGGCCTCCAGCCGATCTGAGAAGCATTGCGTGTGGCGCGCGAGAGGCCCTCCATAATATGATGCTCAGCAATGAAGAGGCCGTCGCACAGGGATCTGCTGCAATAGATCCAAAGCCACCTGGTTCCAAGAAGTAGTAGTGCATAACATCATATCAATAGTCGACAACCTCTTGCGGATCCTCGACACCTCCATCGCGCCGATCTGGTTAAAGATGAAGTCCACCTGACGCTTGTAGGGGGGCAAACAAACCTACCTCGCGTTTGACCACCCTCGCTTCCAAAAGATACCAAGCGATGCCAAACTACGGCCTGTACTGGTCAGGCCGCTAGACGAGGAGGCGCGCGGTATGACTTGGTTTTCCCTGGAAGCGAAAGCGGGGTAGGTCATGCACGCTCTGAGCTTGGCCTCCGCCAGCCTGTGCGCGGTGAACATGGGCAGCAAGTTAAATATGCTGCAATACCCGGTTGAATGAAGCCACTGCACCTTCACGAGCCGTACGTAAACGTTTGGCGGCCTTGATCTGGGATTGCGTATGTATGGTTTCTCAATATTATCAAGCTCATCATGGGATAATGCGGAATCGATGCTGCACTTCTTGAATGATTCCAAATATTGACGATGCTGCTCTTCACTACCGAGGCCCAAAGGAGCTTCAGAAACCGCACCTTGGTCGAGGTGCGTCTTGAACTCCTGGATCTGCTGCCATATCGAAACTCTGGCGATTGGCGGTGCGCCACTCCTGCAGCTCATCCTTAGACATGCCGACGAGGTTGGAAGGCTCGGGGGCAGCACCTCCTGGACCTCCAGCATGCCATTCGCCATCGAGTACACCAGCAGGGGCAGGTGCACCACGTGGGCGCTCAGCAAGGGCACGCCCATCGTCGACATGCATTTCATCAGCGCTACCTTGATCACAATTCCCAGGGCCAGCAGCGCCAGCGCCTGGGGCAGGGCCACGCGCATCAGCAGCAGCGCGTCGTTCGCGGTCACGAAGCTCACGTTCGGCTTGCTCATCAGCCAATATTTGTCGTCGGGATTCAGCAGGGTCGAATGCATCCACCTCCTCGTACGCAACACGATAGGCCGCAGCGGCTTGCTCCAACTGCCCAACAGCTTCTGCATGAGGAGGAGGAGGAGGAGGAGGAGGAACTCGCACCGGGGGAAGGCTAAGAATGCGATGGCCTGCGCTCGAAACCTCAAGGGCGCGGTCCTGCCTGTCCAGGAAGGGCGACAGGAGGCGCGCCCAGGAGCACGGACAGGCCGGCGCGCCTCCGCACAACCTGCTGAAAACGGGCCTGTGCGATGGCAGTAACGGGTCGAGAGGCGACAGGCCGAGAGCGAATGGTATGGACGTGATGAAACACGCATCGACATACATCACAATCGAAATCAGGGCCTGGTCAGGCAGTGGGAAAAAGCTTATAAACCTGACGCCCAGACAAACCATCGGCGAGACAAAACTGGGCAGGGAGATGGGGCAGGAAGATAATAATACAGTCATGCCAAGGGCACTCGAGAACGTGTTTCAGATGGTCGGCCTCGGGGAGGCCACACATTGGGCAAGCTAGAGTGGCCGACCGAAAGCGTCCTGAGGTGCACCACGCATTGCACACTGTCTTGAAAAAAGACGACAGGACTGAGGGCGGAACTTTTTGAGCGGCCCTCAGGAAGGCCACAATAAAACACTTGATACTCCAGGCAGACATGTGCGGGTCGCATTTTCTAGCACGGGCTATATAACACAGGCGGTCACGTCTTGGCGGAGGCGTTGACGGAGAGCCAGCTCAGCCTTTTTTCTGGAGGGGGGAAACATATTGGTGCATACCAGGGATAGCAGTCATCACGTCATAGTTGTTAATCATGGCCTTCAAGATACTTACTTTCCACCAGGGGTGTTCAGTCCATGCATTGCAGCAGTCTTCGTCTTCTTCGAAGGCGCTCAGGTCGTTACGAATCTCAAAAAAAGTGGGCGAGTAGAACGCGGCACGGCGCATGGCCGCTCGACTGACGAGCGCAAGCGACCGTGCCTCAAGAGGAAGCCCGAGCTGTTTGAGGCCCATCATCATCTTTGCAGTAATAGCACTATTAGGGCCCATCGTAAGCTTCTGGGGCCCCGACCTCTCCAGCTTCAGGCACCTCTGGGTAATTGGCACAAGCTGGCACAGAAAAGTTAGCACCGAGAAAGCGATCATGTTGTACTGCGCGATAGTTTTGGCGAGCCCAAACCCGGCCGTGAATAAGGTGGATGCGGCGGACGAACTTCTGGAGGGCGGGTTCCCAGGGCGCGTCGATACTCTCGGGGCCAAGACGAACCCCCAGGTATTTCCCATGAGCCTCGAACTGAAGACCAGGCACGTTCATCCCGAGGGCCCCCAGCGCGGCCAGGAAATCAGCCTGACTCATACCGTGCAGGACCACGACAGTTTTGTCCAGGTTGACGCACAATCCAAATCCAGGGCCAGCAAGGGCCCACGCGCTCATGCAAAGGAAGAAGGCTTTGACAATGTCTCCTGGCCCGAGGCCGACTTCGTCTGCAAAGGCTCCCAGGGAATGGACAGGACGCGGCAGCAGTAGGCAGATCCTGCGTAGCACTGGGTCCACGGCCAGCGCAAGGAGAGAGCCGCTGGCAGGACATCCTTGCTTGATGCCGCGGGTGAGCCAATAACCTATGTCCCGATGCATACCACGATGCGAAATAGATACCCAACCCCCTCGATATAGACACTTCAAGGCTTCGATGAGGAAGGTGGGCACTCCCATGGTATCAAGCGTTGCGAACATAGCTTCGTGCAGCAGACTGGGAAACGCGGCGCGTACATCGTAGAATATGAGGCCGGCCTTTAAACAGTGTCGTTGCACATGCCAATGGAGCGCGCAATACTCGAGCTCCAGAATATTCTCGTTCATAATCCTCCCACCCACGAACCCCCTCTGCTGTTTGATGCACGTAGATTGACATATGGTACTCAGGGGCTTGTTGAGAGCTAGCGATATCAGCTTATTCGCGGCCTAGTAGCAGAGGGCTTGCGCATGCAGAGCTGCTCGTCCCCATCCTCTACCCCTTTGGCTAAAAATATACTATATCCATGGTTGAAGTCTCTGTGGCATTCGCCCTGCTCCAGAATATGTAGATACAGACGATATAACGCCGACGTCCCCAGAGTCCCAGAGTTGCTCCGTCCGCTAGGCGGGATCCCGTCGGAGCCAGGGGCGCTGTCGTGAGCCTTACCCATCATCTTGAAAAGCTCCTCTTCCTCCAGCCTCCACTGAATATTGCCAGGAATCTGGGGGGCATCTGGGAGCAGCTCGTACATTGCCGTGGGTTCAGCATCCACGGCTCCGTGCACTTGCCCCCAGTGTCGGGCGAGTTCTTTCGCTCCTTCACGCGGGTCGAAAATTGGCGTCCCGAGCGGGCCCGCAATCGCCTGCAACGAAATACTAGCTCCACGAGCTGTCCAGGCAGATCGGTAGGTGTATAACGTGTTGGTCTTTTGTTGTTTCCATGTTTGGGACATGTCTGGGCCATTCTGGACAAGCTCGATCTGGCCATCGATCTGCTGCCGCTTGAGCGAGGCCAGCAGGTGATGGAAACCGATAGAGTCCGAGAACCGACAGGACTCAACGTCAAAGAACTGCAGGAGCCTGGGCACGCCTTCACGGCACGCCTCAAGGCAGACTGAGACCCAGATCTTTCGGCCCGCATAGCAGCCAACGCCCGAGACACGTATTCTGGGAGCGAATGGGCCCCGCGCTGTTCCAAGATGCCCAATGCCTTCCTTGATGCCGCCTGGGTGCCCTCCCTCACTTCCTCCACCGCCTCCATGGGGTTCTCCGAGAGCGGGGCAGCCCCTTCCAGAATCTCGCCCACGACCTTCGGGAACAAAGGATGCTTGGTGACCCAGGACTTGACCGCGAGGATCCCGTCGGAGCACTTGGGGGCCAAAACTACATGCACAGGTACATGATCAGAAAGTGTGCTGGGGTCAGCAGGGCGCCCAAGGACGCCCAGGGATGGCGCGAATCGAGCAACACGCCAGGAGGGATACTCGTATAAATGCGATCCATACGAGCGAGCGACTTGATGGCCGTGCGGCCCTCGACAAATTCCCCCACCCTGTGGGTAAACTGCGGCTGCTCAACCTCTGTCAAGAACGGAAACACCTCGATAAAGTGCTTGGCCAGCCGGTGAGATGGATGAACCAAGCGGCCTGATGACTGATCGCTGCCTTCACCAGCAGCTGGCCTCCTGGATACACACTATATCGCGTTGTTGAACCAACTTGATAACAAACCTGATCTTTGCTTTGTGGGCGTGCTGGGGGGCGACGATGGCACCGAGGAGCGAGCGGGCATTCCACGAGACAATTGAGAATCGCTAAGCAGGCAGGAAAGGACGGCACTCAGCAGGCAGCGGTGGCCAACTGCCGCCATGGTGAGAAGATCCCGACGAAGAGGTGCTGGACGAAGAAGGAGGTAGAACTCGCCGATGATGTGCTGAAAGTACTCGAAGAAGTGGAGCTTGTTGAAGAGGCTGTTGCTCTCCTGCGTTGACGACGCCGCCGTCGAATTCGACCTGGTAGCGCGTCAACATCTCGATGGGGCCCGACAATGTCCTGGTCCGCCGTCGCCAGAGCGCCCGCGCTCGGCAGGGCGGCGCTGGCGCCCGCACAGCGCTGGACACCCAATCCAGAGACATGGCCAAGATCGACAGATGCTTCCCCTGCCTCAGGTGGTCGGTACCCTCTGCTGTCGGCTGCGCCCCGCAGCGCGGACAGTGAGCAGTGCGTGCCACCTGGGCTCTCAGCATGCACGTTGGCGAACGATCGAGATGGCGTGGCCGTCTCCTACAGCAAAATGCCGTCGACGGTGCTGGCGATGACTGCATCTGTGAAGCCAAGCTTCTTGAGCTCAACCGTGTTGGGCATGATGTCCATCTGCCCGCTGTCTGAACCCTTCACCTCGACTAGTTCGGCCGTCTCGTCACCAGATATCAACCAGAGCTTCCCGCGGAAGCCTTGGGCGCCGAGTTTGTATGAATCATTCCACTTGTTCGTGCTGCGCGCCACGTCCATCACATTGGACCAGAGTATGCCGAGCACGCGGTTGACCTTCCTGATCTCGGGCGGGGCGTCCATGCGAATCTTCAGCTTGATGGTGGCTCGGTTGGTCGGGTCGTCCCATGTCACACCGAGGGTGCGGGCTCTGGTGAGGAAGTCCTTCGCGTTGGAATTCGAATCGAAAATGATAATGTACGCGGACTGAAAGTTGTGAACCTTTGGCATTGCAGTGTCTCCGTCTGGCACGCGTCGTTTGATCAAGTCTGTCGCGTACTTAGTCATGACCGTGCCCATCATCGCACGTGGGAAACCAGCAATCCATATCTTGCAATTATTCGAGTCATTCCCTTGACTTGAGGACGACCCCGCATTCGACCCCGCATTCGAGGCCCTTGATGACGGTGTTTGAGAACGTAATGCAGCAAGTTCAGCTTTTGCCCTGGCCGTGTCATTCTTCACTTGCTCGATGGAGACTGTAATGGCACGTTGCACCTCGGCATTGGCGGCTGCGACAGCTTCGGCATGGCTGGACTGAGCTTTGACCTCCAGGTTTGCAATGCGCTCATTCATGGCAGCGAGCTGGGTGTCGTGCTCCGCCAGCGAAGTCTTTAACTCCAAAGATATCTTCTTTAGTGGCTAATGCGGCTTGACCATGCTGGATGTTGGTGAGCATATCAAAGAGCCGTGACATGTCTGAGTTGCCATTCCCACCTTTGCCGTCTCCTTTTCTCCATGGTGCGCGGGAACTTGAGGTCGCGTCCATCAGAGTTCGCAGTCTCGGTGATCTCCATATCCTCAGACGCCATCTGTTGCACCGATGGGGCGAAAACAAATACTGCTCACCTGCGGGCGCAGGAGGCAGGCGGCCAGTGGGGCGGACCACTGAGCGCAAGAAGGATGTCGAGCGCAAAGGCTCTGGCACTGCCGCGGACTAGCGGTATCCGTGAAGGCCAATGCGGGCTCAGCCCGCCAAAGCAGACCCTTGAGCCAAAATGGCTACGGAAGGAGGAGGAAGAGGAGGAGGAGGAGGAGGAGGAGGACAAGGAGGAGGAAAAGGAGAAGGATAAGTAGGAGGAGGAGGAGGAGGAGGAGGAGGAGGAGGAGGAGGAGGAAAAGGCGGAGGAGGAGGAAGGAAACGGGCCCCTGGAGGCCCACGGGAGGCCCGCGGGAGATCCTGGGCGGCGGGAGGCTCCCCGCGCGGGCGCGCGCGCGCGCGGCGCGGCGAGGCGCGGCGCCGGCGGCCGCCTGGCAGGGGGCGCGGGAGCCGTCCCAAGGCGCGCGGCGGGGGCCGCGGCGGCCCCGCGGGCCCAGGCGCGCGCCCGCGGGCGGCGGCGGCCGCGAGCTGAAAGAGCCGCGGGCACCGAGGATCGCGAGGAGGGCGACGGCGGCAGCGGCGGAGGCGGCCGCGGCCGCGAGCACGGGCCCCTCGGGCGGCGGCGGCGCCGCCGCCGCCGCCGCGGAGCCTGCTGCTGCCCTTGAGGCGGAGAGCGCTGCTGTTGCCACCGAGGAAACCTGCTCCTTGCGGTCCGCCCCACTATGGTCCTGATCCTCCTCCTCCGCCTCCTCTTCCTCCTCCTCCTCGTCCTCCTCCTCCTCCTCCTCCTTCTCCTCCTCCTCCTCATCATCATCATCATTCTCCTTGTGCAGCCCTTCTACCTCCTCCACCGATTCGCAACCTTTCTCCTCAACCTCACCCCCCGTCCTCAGGCTGCTCCGCCTGTCCTTGTGCAATCATCGTTGCTTAGCCCGCTTGTTGCTGTTCCTTCCCCTTCCCCTTTCCCCTTCTCGTCACCCCTCTCCCGTTCCTCCCAATCTTTCGATGGCAACCCATGGGAGCCTCCCATGCCGTTTCGCTGTCCCTTGCGGATCGACGCCAACCGACGCGAATCGACGCTGGTCGACGCAACATCGACGACAAACTGGCGCTAGAGTTGACGCTACATCGGCGCTGCCTCGCCGATTGCCGGACGCTAGCGCACGCGGGTGAATTTTAAAGACGGGATTGCGAGGGTATGCGCGGCTCCTACGATTTGCTACCGAACTTTCCTCTCCGAGGAGGAGGGAGGAGGAGGAGGAGGAGGAGGAGGAGGAGGAGGAGGAGGAGGAGGAGGAGGAGGAGGAGGACGAGGAGGAGGATGAGGAGGAGGCGGGGAAGGGGGAGAAGGGGGAGGAGGGGATAAGGAAGGAGGAAGAGGAGGAGGAAGAGGAGGAGGAGGAGGAGGAGGAGAGGGAGGAGGGAGGAGGGGAGGGAGGGAGGGAGGAGGAGGAGGAGGAGGAGGAGAAGGTGGAGGAGGAGGGAGGGAGGGAGAGGAGGAGAAGGGGGGAGGAGGAGGAGAGAGGAGGAGGAGGAGGAGGGAGAGGAGGAGGAGGAGGAGGAGGAGGAGGAGGAATTCTTTTCTGCCCAGACTTCTTCATAGCCTCATCTGTGTGGGCCCCCGCTGAGACGGGAGGACTCTTGCGGCTCGGCGGGGGGTCCCCGCTTGCCCAGCGATGCCCAACGGGGCATCGCGCCGCATTGCCGGCGCATCAGCGATACCTCGGCGATACATGATTCTCGTCGTCTAAGACGAAACCAAAACGAGAATCACATCAGGTAAATACACATCGAGACTCTGTGAGATCCGGCGGATCTGGAGGATGTCTGGGGCACCGCGGCCTTCTCAGAGCTTTCTGGAGCGCTCTGGGAGCGTTCCCGAACGCTCTGATCAGAATTCTCCCCGTCCTAAGCGTCAGAACTGGGCGCGTGGGCGGCGGCACTGGGCGGTGCGCAAGATGGGGCAATTAAGGGGGAAGGGGGGAAGGCTTCTTCACAAAGGAAGCTGCTTTGGAAGGCGCCCGCCTTACACCTCTATAGAAAAGGTCCGCGCGCATTCTAAAAAGCAGGGGTCCTTCCAAGCAGCCTTCCCCTCCCCCTATTCCCCTCTTTGCGTGGCTGAGCAGAGGCCTCTTGGGTGGGGTCCGAAGCCGCGGGTTCGCGTCGTGACGACCCCAGTGCTGGCTCCCGATACCGAGAAAATCGTTCAACCTGGAACGATCGGCCGCTTCCTAAACGCCAGATCGCTCAACATCGACCGACTCTCGGCCGCTGGCGGCGTTCAACGTGGAACGCCACGCCGGCGGCGGGGTCGCCGCTGGTCGACACGACGCGAACCTACCGTAGATGGTGTCGGAGGATCGCGCCCCCTCTGCCTGCCCCGCGGTCTCCAGCGCCAGGGGGAGGGCCGGCCAGGGGGCGCGGCCTTCCGGGTAACGCCAGGGTTTGCATTTCTCCGCCTCCTCCTCCTCCTCCTCCTCCTCCTCCTCCTCCTCCTCATTGCGCATCCGCCGCGTCAGGAGAAGTAGGAGGGGGCCCTCCTTTCTCCTCCCTCCTCCCTCCTCCCTCCTCCCTGCTCCCTCCTCCTCCTCCTCCTCCTCCTCCTCTTCCTCCTCCTCCTCCTCCTCCCTCCTCCGCCTCCTCCGCCTCCTCCTCCCTCCTCCCTCCTCGTCGGCTTCGGCGTGGGCCAGGGGCGCCGAGCGGGGGTGCACCTGTTCAGCTCCTTGATAAGGGCGTTCCTAGAATGCTGCCGCGCGGAGACGCCGGGGGTTTGTTCGGACAGTTTGGACCTCACCGAGCCGGGGGATGCCGCGATGTCACTCCTGATGGTGCAGCTCGTGGACGACACGTTCGTCCTCCAGCCAGACGAGGCGGGGCTTGCGCGGGCGAGTGCCGGTTTAACGAAGTTCTGTCATTTCTACAGACACCGCTTCCAAGGAGGCGCAAAGGGCCCAGCGGCCATGGCAGTGGGCGGCCCCGCCCCTGTCCAAGCGGCCTGCG